TCTATGGATGAACTGTCTCTCTCTAGTACTCTTTATATTTCTCAACAGTAATTATCAATGGATAAAGTTTCTCATCAGTATTCTTTATATGATAGGACAGTAGTCATCTATGGTCAAACTCTCTTACTAGTATCCTTTGTGTGTTTCGGCAGTAATCATATTTGTATAAACCCTCTCATTAGTATTATTTACGTGATATGACAGTAATAATCTATGGATTTACTCTTTCACTAGTATTCTTTATATGACATGACATTTATGATCTCTACAGTTGTTTAAACTAACTAATACAACATTTTAATCGGCATATTTAAATTTGATAGGTACAGGTGTTAACTACATAATAAAAGCTCATAATCAACGTTACTATTGTGAAAATTCAAACAAGCATTTCCCAGACTCTGGAGGAAATAATATAATAGATATCCATATTCAGTTTTCTAGTAATTATAAAGTATTATCACAAAGACAATATACTCATGCTAGTAAAACACTTTTCATTGTGTATTTCGTGACATTTGTTTAGTGTTTATTTTGTTACATGATGTTATTGACTTTCTGAATTCAATATTCGAGTTTTTTAAATTGTATCTTTTATATTAGGACCAACGCTTGACAATGTTTAGCTGTATTCATATTTGCAAGGTATTTTAACAATAACAGACTTCTTTTCTGATTCTCTTATGTATGTTGTATTCCTATGTCTTCATACAACACGAAATTTCTAGGTTCGTAACTTCCATGAAGCTTTTGTATATTACGTCATTAATAGATATAGCTTACAACAACATTGAAACATAATTCACGAAAAATACATATCTTATCAAACATTAAGTTGTCCCTAAACATGGATTTAAACAAAACTTTAGGTGCAGCAACATAAAGTAAAGTCAACTTAGTCACAGAACTTTTATTGTTTATCATTTGTATTAGGTTTTCGCAATCATTTACAATTTTTGTTTGAGAAATTCATGAAGTTCAAAAGAAGATGCTTCGTTTTTCTAAATTTTCTTGGCTATAGTCATGATGTCATTCATGATCATTACGTACGCTTGGTATTATCATAATGCACGATTGTTATAGTCCTGCTTTATAGTTACTATAGTCAGGATACACGGTTGCTACAGTCATGATGACAGCTGCTATAGTCACAATATCTAGTTGCTATAGTTAAGACTTATGGTTACTATAGTTATGATACACAGTTGCTATGTTATAATCATACTGTACAGTTGCTGTATTATGGTCATGGTGTACTGTTACTATAATCAGAATGTACGGTTTGGATTAGTAGTTTGATTCCTAAAGTACACGCCAATTGCAAAATTTGTAATCCTCGCGCTTACAGAGGTAATTTAGCTAAAAGTTTATTAGTATATTTAAAAGATCATCTTTACATCTACACTACTTATTATGACAAATATCAACCCCTAGAAGGAGTGTCTTCCACTTCTTACATTGTTCGTGTTCGACTGAGTTAAGTCCGTTTACCAAGCCGATTTACAATGATGAGTCACTATACAACTAGGCCAACGTAAAGATAAACATATAGCATGAAATAATGGCTGGAGACGGCTTGAATGGGTAATGAAGAAAAACTTTAATATAACAGCAAATGTACAACGTTTCGACAAGGTTTTGTCATCATCAGGTACAAGAAACATTATACATAAAAACTCTTCCCCCGTCACTAAGTAACACACAGTCTTCACTGGATTTAAACCTATTTTAACTATTTCACTTGTGCCTCAGTTTTTATTTCTCGTGTTATTTGTATATTCCAATTGTTTATTTCTTATGTATATATCTCTGTTGTAATTACAAATATTGTTTGTTTATTTTGTACCTCTAGATTACTGATGACGAAATTATGACGATTCCGAAACGTCTAATAAATGCTTCTTGTTATTACGATCGTGTTTTGTTTTATTATTACAGACTCTCGCTACGAGGTCGGTCGAAATAATTGACCTCGTAACCATTGTGTGCTCATGCATTTTACAGCGTAACATTAAATTTTAATATTGAAAGTCATGTAGGGATAACCTATGTATAGCTGTATCATCTCTATATTCTTGTTTGCATTCTTTTTAACACTGCCATCCCTACATCATTTTACATTTACAAACTTTTTTATTACTTTTGTTAGATATGTTACTATACTGTTGCGTCAGCAAAGTCACATGACTAGTGTGACGCCACGTTTCTAGAACTATCCTGTACCTTGGTGAATGCTCTAGGATTTACTAGATATAGGGTAGTCTGGTATATAAAAGAGGGTGACAACGTGACGGTAATTAATGTGTGTGTAGGTAATGAGAGAGACGTATTGTTGAAGTTAACGTTCGTTGATATAGCGTTTGTTTTAGCGCGATTGTTGAAAACAAGTGTATCGTAAAGTTATATTCGGAAAGAATAAACCAGTTTTATTAAGTAAGGACTTGTGTCGCTAAAGTTTCGTCGGAACGAAGTTACGGGAAGTTAATTAACAAACGGAGACGTAACAACACTATACTACAAAACCTACTGTTAGATATGTTACTACTGGCATATGGCCAGTCAAAAATGATGGGGCAAGTACTACCACCCCCTCACCATAGTATAACCTAACCTCACATTTCATAGTTTTCTTTGTTTGTAATTAAGCACAAAGCTACACGATGGGTTATCTGTGCTCTGCCCATCACGGGTATCGAAACCCGGATTCTAGCATTGTAAATCCGCAGACATACCACTGGGGGGCATATTTCATAGCTAACTAAAATAAGTATATTTCGCGAAATCAAGCTTGACCAACACAAAAGTGAAGTCGAGAAAGTCAAACGTCGGTAAATTCCGAGCCAATCAAAATTAATGAATTCGTGGCGTATTCATAAAATAATTATTGGTTAAAATCAATTAGATTAACAACTTCTAATATATAGAAAAGTCAGTGCATTTTGGTTACACTACGTTCGACAATGGCTTTTATGTCATGTTGCTTAACAACAAAAGTATAGCCTAATATTCTTGTTAGTTTATGTACTAGAAATATAAAATGAAATAATAGACAACAAAACTTGAAAAACATTTGTTAATTTCTTAATTTAGAGTCTCTGTTGATTAAATAGGTGTTTTTTTTTATTAAAACCGTTGGTGATATAACAGAAATAGGTTAATTCAGAAACGATTTACGTTTAAAATTGATTTGATATTTTTACTTTCATGATATATTTTATGTACTGTGCTCTAGGCTAGCTGATCCCACACTACATCTTTACTTTAGGCTTATTATACCAGCACTCACTACACTTAAAGGTTTCACGCCCCCCCCCTTCACATTTTGGCTTTTATGACTCCCCCTATTTCGAGAAATCAAACGTGACGTGACACATACTAGCTTTTATATAGGTTAGATATCCTGTTCATTTGTAGTAGCACCAACATAAAATACTCTGTAGTCCTATTGCCGTTGTATTGTTACATAAAGATATTTCGTATCTGTGTGAAAATCTATAAATGCAGTTCCATACCAAATGACCACTCAACAAATACATATGGTGTACTACTCATTTTCGCAATAACATGCGTAATCCCTAATCATTTTAAATGATGGAACTTGTATAACTCTTGAGAGAAATATGTTTAATTGCAGATAAGTAGCCACTTGGATTTTATCATCTTAGTTAAGAGTCGTTTTGATAGCTTTCCTTCGCGATAGAATCTCCCTGATCAACTTCGCATAGGAACGATAATACAATATGTAATTCTGTAATATTACATAATTTTATTCATTATTGTTAAAGTTTTTACGTTCAAATTGTTAATGTCGTTTTCTCTTTTTAGTCCTAGGAAACGCACCTTATGGTTAGCTATACATTTTAATCATTCAACTAAAAGCTGGTTGATTTGTCAAAAGTCAGAATATTGGTGTAATGTGTTTTAGTTGCTGTATATTCAAACACATCATCAAGACTTTTCATTTCGAACCTATATATAACATACTGAACAAAAATGTATTTACCAACAAAAGCTGTTTTCTTTAGGATAAAAAAAAAGTTAGAAATGCAGAAGAATGTAATAATACACTCGTTCAATTCGTCATTATTACGTCATAGTTTTCCCACAAATTTTTCTACCCGTGCAGTTAAGTAAATAACGGTCTAAAAATGTTGTTTATCAAAATATCCTGAAAGCATTTAAAAATTATCATCAGCATTTATGGAAGATTGATTAAAAGTTACTTAGTATAAGAGATATAACAGATGGTTTAACTGTTCTAGACTAGGCAATGCTCAGATTGTACAAACAAGACAGTAGTTCCATTTCACTTAAGGCATCTGAAACATATATGCTTCTATGTGAAGCAAACCAAGATGTATAAGAAACGCCTTCTAATTCGCCCTGAGTATGAAAATGTACTAAAGCAGTTTCACAGAAACCTGTTATAAATATAGCAAATAACTTTTACTGATCTACCATCACTGTAATACAAGATGTCATGCTATTCAGCTAATTTTATTATTCTAATAATGCTACTTTTATATCGAAACAATATGTAAAAGAAAAGGTGAAAACATGAGATTTTTAAGTTTTAACTTATATATTTGCTAGTTTCCCCCAGGTTATTGTTTAACGGATAGCGATATAATCATATAAACTAAAATCAATGAATGTACTAACTAAGATATGAAAAAAAAACCTGTTCATCTGTTGTTCCATATATATATAGAGATTGATAGCTTTTTATAAACAATCAATAATTTACTCATATCATCTGAGTACTGTTCATGGTTATTTTGAAGTACTTAATGAAAAAAATGAAATAACGGTCGGGAAGAAAACACAAACATTACAGAATACGTTTTCTTCGTGAAACGTTATCTAACAACGTTGTAATTCCAGCGAAAGCTTAGATAATTTTTGAGAGGTTTAACCTTATGGGTCTCTGCTATCATCTTCGCTCAGCATAGGTCAAGATAAACTTAAGTACAAATAACTATACACAATTCTTGTGTTAATAACAAGATTTTCTGCAGTCTTCAAAACTTCACCATGATTATTTTGGGTATCGGCTTGGTATTGCATACTCTCATAAGGTGAGCAACTTGGGATTATGTTATTAAACGAAGAGTTGTTTAATTGCCAAATAGCTTCCGAAATAAAAAACTTAAAAATAACTACTTATTATGATAAAATGTAAGTTTGACTAATTAAGGCTATTTATGATGAATTTCATGTACCCAGAGATGAAATATACGTTTTTCAGAAACACAGTAAGACTATTGGAATTGTTGTTAAAGTTATATTAATGATATTCAAGTATAAAATGAGGACTAATATCATTAAATGGTCTTGTTTACATCATTTAAAATTTCATTGCATGCGCAATAAATCTTGTCAAAAATTAATTACCAGCTCTTACATATACGTATAGATATATGTATCCTTCATTTGCACGTATTTCGATTTTTCAAATTGTTGACTCACGATCATTTACAATCTTAGTGATCATGCTAAACATTGTGCGTAAAAAATACTGTATTTCGAGTTTATGTTTGATGATAAATATTTGTAGAATGCTGACTGTCAATTCGGGAGTTAGTTTAATTTGAGGTAATTTAAAATATACTGTTACGTATTAGAATTTCAAATGGCCTGAAATTGAGTTAAATGATACTTTAAATTTAGTAGTTAAATGGTACTTTGGATTTAGTAGTTAAATTAAAGCCGATATATAGTTAGTTTACGATATTTGCCAACAAGATTGATACACACAGTTTTCGTTTTTAACACAAATACGTAATAATATACACACAACAATACAATTTACAATAACAATTATTACAAACAATGATTTATAAACAAAAGTTTCACAAACTTACAAACAATATAATTTTTTTTTTTTCTAGTCGGGAACTACCTTGATATCTTATCGGGGGTTTACGATGAGCGAGTTAATTACGAGTTGATGTCGGTACAATTCGCCGGGAAGGTAGCTAGCTTTGTCCTTTGCCACACAAACTGGGTTTTTGTCCTACGTTATTCACTGGTCACACGTGCTGAGTCTTTCGTGGTGAATTTATATAACGTTCTCGTAAAATGTCCGATGAGAATCTACTGAAGTTAAATATTTTGTAATGTTCGAACTTTGTAAAGATTCCTGGTCAAATGTCTGAAGCTTTCCGATTGATAAGCGTTATAACAATCACAATTATAGCTTTCGAATTTTATAGCACACAGATTATTGCTAACTCATTAC